GAAAGAGGAAGATGTATTTCCAGGCCTCCTGTTGGGAGACAGTAAAGAAGGCCCTAAGGAAGCAATTTCCCTTCACTGCAGAATTCAGAACTGAACCACCGACATGATTTGTTGATACAAAACCTGGTCCCCATGTTCCTTAGCAAACTGAAGGATATTAGATTAATGCATCTGTCTGTGGCATACAGCTGGGCACCATGTGAATAGATGCAGAATACACTAATGAAAACCAGAAGATTTCTTTGAAAATATAAATGACAGCTCCTTCCAAAACCTGAATCCAAGACCAGCTCTCGTGGATAGCACTGGAGGCATCCAGAGTAGTCTTGCCAAACATCTGTCATGTCTTCTAACCATGCACAGTGTGGGGAAGCAGCGTTTCATTATGTTAATAATTACCCTGCCTGCAGGCTTTCTGAAGCTGCATCCTTCCGTACAGCATGGCACCAGATTTTAATGAAATACCGTTAAAGCTGTTAACTACAGAGAAAGAGGGGGAAAAAAAATCAAAGACGTAATCAAAGCATGTACTCTATTATCAATAACTGCAAGTGGCTTCATAAATGTTTTACATTCGAAATGTTTTCGGTGCAGATCAGCACAGAACCAGCTGTTTAAAAGAAAAGTGTAATGTAATAACACGAACATTTTAATCATTGCATCTCATTATGGAGAAGAATGAATCACTAGGGAAAAAATGTTTTAAAAAAGCAGCTTTGATGAAGGAAATGGCTAGCCTGGCAACAGAGCTTGAGACCAAGGAAATAAGTCAGAAATAAGAGGCATGAGATAGGATGATTGTTTGTTTTTAGCACCGTGCTGCAGAGAAGAGACAGAAGTACAGAGTGAGGTGAGTTTGGCTTAGGTTGACTGGAAGAAGACAGTTCTGAATTTGGTAGATAAGGGAAGACCAAATCCCATAAGGGCTTTAAAAGCAGCAAGGAAGGACTCCACCTGAGGCGCTGCAGTGCTGCAGTTCTGGCACTTCAACCCAAGCTCTGAATTCAGACTCCTGAAACCGCGCATGGGAAGAGTTGGGTGCCTCAGAAAGACAGTCCAAAAAGCACGCATGCTTGGCTGGGAGTGCTTGGGGCTGTCGAGGAAACATGAGCAATAATCCTGACCAGGGCTGTGGCAGTCTGTACTGCAAAACGGGTATATCTCTATCATGATGAAGCTTGTCTTGTGCCTGTCTCACCCATGCTCACCCATTCCACGGAGGATGACGCCCTGGCTCTCTGGAAGCGGAATGCAGGCAGGGCAGGGACAGACCCAGGATCTTCCTAGGTCATTTGTAAAATGTAAAATGAGCTTGTGCTAAGTAGGATGGTAAACTCAACCCTACAGGGGGGCTAAAATAGTTTAAAAAGACAGGACGGATAACTTTTCTTTTAGGTTACAGAGTCAAAATGCTAATCGCAAGCTTATGTGTCTGCAATATTTCTTTTAAAAAGAATTGGGTAGGAATAACTGGTTTTATTTTCTTTATAAAAGCTTGGTGGGGAGCACTCTCTACTAGGCAGGTTTAATGAGGAGGTTTAATGCCCTCTTCTATCTGAAGGGATTCAGCATGTGAATGCTCTAAATGGTGCTCTCTGTCCTGGAGTATCCTGACCGTTGAACTAGAGGTTCATCTGGCTGGGCGAATCTCCTCTTTCGCCCTTGAACGTGGAGCACTAGGCAGCAGAAGTCAAGACCTCTGGGACCAGAGCAAGAGAAAGCAAACAGGACGGTTGATCCTTTCACCGCGTGTTTGGGCATTCAACTCCAAGGTGGAGTTTTGGCCTCTGCTTTCTTGTCCAAGGGCTGCAAAACCTACTCACGCGTCAGTGAACCTTAGAGCCTGAGACTGCAGCCCATCAATAACTTTGAATGAAAGGTCGGTGTCTTGTGCTAGAGCTAAATGCAATGTTCTTGATGTGTGCTTAACCCTGCACATGCTGGAGAGGTCCCTTGAGGAGTTCAGGTGCTTCTCCCCTGACCCCTAGCAGGGCTGAGGTCCGAGATAGGTTCCTTCTGCTCAGGCATGGCAGTCCTGGATATGAGCAGAAGGCAGAAAACTTCAGAAACTTAAATGCTTGAGAGGGATATTTAGGATGTTGAGGCAGTTGCCAAGCAATTTTTGATGTAGTTGCCCACAGTCCTATTTTAGGCACTTGCATCTTTCTTGTGTCTTATTATCTGTTATGATCAAAACGTTATGTGAACAACAGCAAAGAGGAAATCATTGGAAGACGAGCGAAGGCTTGCGAGAGTAGAGTCTGTGTTCCTGCACGTTGCAAGGACCAGCTGACTAGGGCACATCAGATTTTATGCAGCTGGAATCAGTGGTCCCGATACCAGCATCTCTGAAGGAGGGAACGCGTTCCCTGCAGTACTGCAGTGCTGGCCATTTGGGCGCCTACAGCAAATCAAACGTAAGGACCCTGCAAAGAGCGCACTTGCGGCACCACGTGCATGCAGCTCCTTACCGCAGTGAGACAGGATCGGTCACCCTGAGTGACAATTAACTTTAGTAATAACAGAAAGGCGGTTAATGTGCATTTCTAAAATCAACACTGAAAAAAAGTGAAGCGTTTGACCGTTTCTGGCTTGGGGCCTGATTGCTTTTCCTGCTACTGAATAGGAGTAATTCCACCAAGTCGCACAATGGTATAAAACTGGCGTTTATGAGAGTAGCATCAAACCCTCTGTGAGCAGTTGTCATAGCTTGTATTTCTGGAAAAGTCCAAGGTGCTGGACCAGTCTTTGGGGGGAGCAGGAGGGTGTTCTCAGAGGAACAGAGGTTTCTGGAATATATTTAAGCATTATCAAAACGAGAGAACTTGCCTTTCTTCTGTCCGTCCTCTGTTATCTTTTTTCTTCCTTCTTAGAGAAGGATGCTGTTAGTTGTAGCAGACTGAATTTTATAGGAAACGTGGTTTAATAGCCTGTTTTAATGGAGGGAAAAGCAGGCCTGCAGCCTCTCTGCTATTTCAGAAAAGTATTTAGGAAAAAGATTTAAAACTTAATGCCAATTTTTACTAGATTATTATTTGATAGAAGGGATCAGGAGAGATTATTAAATGCTTTGCACCAAAAATACTGAGAATTAAAGCATGTTAGAACGCCTGCCGGAAATATTGAAATACAATGGAAAGGAAAGCTGGAGGAAGAAAATAAAGATATTTTAAGTGTGTCTGTCTATGCTACAGCTAAACCCGAGATGATAGGTGATGAAAGACTGTCTCTATGTTGTTGATGCCCCTTTGGGGAGCCTCTTTCCGTGATTCGCAGCTTTGCAGCTGGCGTTCTGCGGGACGGGGCAGAGCAGCAGAGCACGGGGTCGGGCGCTCTTTGGCTATCGCGTCGCACCAAACAATTACCGATCTACAGAAGAAAGCTGTTATTGCAAAACCTCCTGGTAACCAGGATGTAACTTTGTGGAAAGTCTATTACGGAAGTTGTAATTCTGTTATCTGCCGGCTGCACCATAGCTCGTGAGTTTATTTTATGCCGCAACGCGCTCGCTGTTGAAAATAGAAAGGTCCTATTTAGTGTTAAAGATTCTCAGAAATCACCTTCTGCTTGACCTGTACGTTTTTGCTGCGGTTATCACCCTTTCTTTCATCCAGTTTTGCCCGAGTTCAAGGTGAAGGTGCAGAGAGTCTCCTCTCCGGAGCTCGCCCCATGGGAGCTGCTTCCCGAGCAGCGGCTGCTGGGAGCCCTGCGCTCTCTTACGGCTTTTAGCTCTTTGTTTTCATCGCTAATTTAAGCCGACAGCAAAAGCATGATATGGCTGCTGTGTGATAATTCACGTTCACAGCGAAGCTGGAGCCCAGGAAGATACAGTGTGCGTAGCAAACGGTGCTTTAGCGGTTGGTTTTGCGCTGCCATTTGAGGAGGAGTTATGGGTTTCCTCCCTTGCCATCGTCGTCTTGTGTCTGAGCAACCTGAATTTTGCATTTCTTAATGATCTCTACTTAAGAGTAAACCTATCACACTAGTGTATTTCAGAACTAATCAAACCAGTTAACAATTTCAAGGACTGGCTATTTTAGCACATTTGTTGTAGTTATTTGGTTTATAAGATGATTTCGTTAGGGTGCTGTCATTTCTGTAAGTGCTGAACATCGTACAAACACAAGGATATTATTTAAGAACAAGAGTGGGATTAGGTTTTAATATCAGAGCTTATACTCCGGAGGCCTAACTTTTAAGGCTAGATTAGGGTTTTTGAATCACAGACTGGTTCAGGTTGGACAACATCTAGCCCGTCCTCCCACTCGGAGTAGGACAGCGCTGATTCAGAGCCAGCTGCTCTGCTGCTATGGGCTGAGGGCTATGACTTCATGGGATCAAACCCATGGCTTTGCTTGGTGCTGCCCTGTTTCTGTGACCCTCGCGGCTCCCTGGGAGCAGCGGAGGAGGCCACGCTCACTGCGGCGCTCGCTGGTGGAGTTTGCACCCTTGTGCATCCCCGAATCTTTTTTTAAGGTTGTCAGTTTGTGCTGGTAAACGTGCAAAAGAGCACGGAGGTTGCTCTTTTGGGGTCAGTGAGAAAGTGATTTCCCTGCCTTTTCCACTGGGCATCTTCACCTGGATCTGCAGCCTGTTAACTGTTTGTCTCGAGGGCACGAACCTATTGCTTGCATTAGAAGTTTGTGCTAATTATTTCCAAGAAATTAATTTTTGAGATGAAATGCAGCCCCTGAGCCTTGATGTAACAATCTCTTAAAATATTTCATGTGTTTGTGGCACTAAATCTGCAGCAGAATCCTCTGCAGCACGTTTTCCATGGCTTTGGCATCCCTTCCACGTCTCACTATTCTGGCTTTATTTGGCGTTCCTCCTTCTGAAGTGCACTTCTCAGGAGCGTTGAGATGGATGAGGGCTGAGCGGCCCGGGGAGGTGGGCATGTTCTGGGGAAGGCGGCGTGGGCCAGGTGGTACGGTGGGCCTGGAGAGCAAATGGATGTTGCAGGAGCAGAACTTTTACTCAGTCGATTTCTTTTTGCACAGTGCAAGTTCCAGGGCCAGTAGAAAACCTGCGGGCTGTATCTACCTCACCTACCTCGATCCTCATTTCCTGGGATCCCCCTGCCTATGCAAATGGTCCGATTCAAGGTTACCGGCTCTTCTGCACCGAGACCGCAACTGGAAAAGAGCAGGTGAGCGGGGACGAGAGCGGCTCTGCTCTTCTTTTGGGGATGTACCAGCATATGCTTCCAAAAAACACATCAACTAATTGGAGGGAAAGGAGAGGAAGTGTCCAAACAACAACAATGGCTTAGCAACGTAAAACACCTTAACAGTGGAAATTTGTGTGCTTTGAGGAATTTGACGTATGCTTCAGGTCTCCAGAGCACTGTAAAGGTTCGAAACACGAAGATTTTTCATTTCCACTTTAGGTAAATGTTACATAGACCTGGTAATAAGGGAAACCCCGGTTCTTGCCTTTATGATGGCAACAGTCCACGAGACCCTCCTGCGGGAGGAGATTGGCCCGCCCAACTGCAGCACTTAGCAGCAGGCTCAAGCCAAATAAATTTACACCAGTATAAAACCGGGTTTGGGAGGTAGAAGAGGCAGCCTACTGTATATTAACCATTTCTCAGCTTTACACTGAAATTTCCAAATAATGCTAAATGCCATTTCAAGACCCTTTAGGTTTTCTCCTTTATGTCGTGCAAAACTATCAAGATGTTGATGGAAGTTTGTGCGTGTGATCCCTGGAGTTTTTAGTTGCTTCTTGTACCTTCTCTCAAGGCTACGGTACGAGTATAATATCCAGACTAGGAATGATGCATTTTGTTTCCAGATTGAAAGGTGCTAATAGTAAAAACCTCCTTCCGATGCTGTCCCTTTCATTTTGGTCCTAATTCTACCGTAAGAATATGCTTTTCTGTGGCAAATGAGTAAGAAAGCAGAAAGCCTTGCTTTCTGTAACTTGTGAGCCGTTCAGACTGTTTATGTTGACCACTTAAAAACTAATATTTTGTAGGAATGCTGCGATAGTTGTATGGACTAGCTCTGTGGGTGGGATATGGTTTGAATAAGTTTTTAATGGAGGACAGGGCAAGGAGCAGAGCAGAGACTTGTGTTTTTTTCTAAACTGATCCAACTTACTATTAGTAACTGTGATGATCACAGGCATCAGAGATCCTGTGGCAGGTGTTCCAGTGGTCTTGCGGGAACTTTTGTACTGCTGCCATTTTTCTCTGTGCTTGCTTCATTGTACTTTCTTCTTTTCTCCAAAATTCCCCTTTGACCTTTTGCCTGTATTTTTTTCTTTCTTTTATCTTCTTTTATTTCCCTGTCATGTACCTGTGGAGTGGGAGCAATTGGTTTAACCAAAACAAGTTTTCTCCTGTGCCTTCAGTAGTGCCTAAGTAACTAAATAAAACTTTGAAGCATGAAATTTACTGTGTCCTGAACCCCATGTGAAGCTCTAGCGATGTGTACTGAGAAGTGAGCTGTAACAAGCAATTCTGTTACAAATTACCTTTTATACCAACTTAAATAAGGATTTAGCTCTACTTCTGAAAGAGTGAAAAGCTCATCTCTAATCCGCTCATCCCTCGGCATCACTGTCACACTCGCTTTAATGTTCCCACTTAGTAACAGTGGATCATTTCTGTGTGCTCAGAATATCGAGGTCGACGGACTCTCCTACAGGCTGGAAGGGCTGAAGAAATTCACGGAATACACTGTGCGCTTCCTGGCGTACAACCGCTACGGCCCCGGTGTGTCCACCGAAGAGATCGCGGTCACGACGCTTTCTGACGGTAAGTTCAGGCCAGGAGGTCCCAGGACGGACCAGGGGCGAAGGGAGGCAGGTGCCTCCTGGGGGGCTGCGTTTGTCCGTTCTCGTCTCGAGCCGCTTTCTTCCAGGAGCTGTGCCATAGCCCTGTCTCTTCAGAAGTGATGGCAATGAAATGAGCAGCTCATTGAATCTGCAGGGTTCTTGCAGAGAAATAAAAGATTCAATATCTACCTGCAGTGGTACCCAGTAAGCTAGTGATCATCTCCAATGATAATCACTTCAGTTCATTTTTCTTATATCTAACTGTTGGGGTAGCATACTGCAGTCTTTATTTTCTCCTCAACTTAGGCACAGGTATCAAGCTTTCTACAGCAAATTTTGTCTGTTTTATTATAGTTGCATTTGAATAAAAACTGCCTAGATTTTCCTTGTGTCTTAAACACTGGACTAGAAAATGTGCCTGTGTTTCAATTTCTGTTCAGTCACGATGGTTGCACTGTCATTCCTCGTGACATCCTTGCATGCTGCAAGTGATAAATTGAATTTTATTTTGAATTTGGAAGCGCTTAGTTGGGTCTGATATCAAAAACTTCTACACGCCTGACTCCTGTTGAAATCAGTGGGCCTGATCGCCATAGCTGGCTAAAGCATTATTGAAGTCGTTTGGTCTACAAAAGTGTAAAAACCATCTAAATGAAAGGCAAATTCTCTCCGTAGGAATTGTGCATACAAAGCCCAGGATTTCTGTCAGTCAGACCGTGCTGATGTCTCTGAATAGTTTTTGCTGCCAGACAGTTCTTGACATTTTTAGAAGGAAATAGAGTCCTACCAGATAAAAGAGAATAGCTGATACTTATTGGGGGGATAAAGATTAAATGGAGTGATGAGTTTATAAACTAGCAACCAGATCCAAAGGCGGTTCGATGTAATTACTTCCAAAATCGTCAGTGACATGCCAGTTGCAAGCTAACTGAGACCTATAATTGGAGGAAATAGAAAGCTCTAAAAGAAAGGTTAAAAGATTTTTATCCACGCCAGCATTTTGTTTAAAGACGCTGTAAAAAGTGTCAACTTAAGCTTTTAAAGTGAGATTTACAGACAGTTAGTTTTCATTCTGATGAAAATTGTAAAGTTTCTATTCATTCACGTTAATACATGAAGATATGGGAGTTCCAGTTGCCCTATCCTCTGTTTGGATCACTGACGTAAAAAAATGGCAAAAAATGTTTATTTTTACTCTTGGTTATAAATTCTGAGAACAGACAAGAAACGTGCTGCTGTGGGCTTCAACTAGCTATGTCAAATTAGCTAGGCGTTTCTCCCCCCCGAGAAGCGTGACCTGTGCTAAGCAGCATGTTCTTCACCACTGCCTGGCATGCCCAGTAACCCAAGACGGCGCTACTTCAGCTGCAGCATGTAATACAGATACTGCTGGTGCTCTCCATACTGTAGATAGGTGCTACAACAAAACACGGGAACGGAGAACCAGAGTGTCGGAGTTTTGTCCCTTTATATTTACAAATTTGTATCTAATTTTATTGTAAAGATAACAACTGTCCCTTATTGTTCTACCCAAAACAACGGAGATCGTTGCATGAGTTTAAGAATGACAGTTGTCTGTCTGATCGTTTGTCTGCCTGGTGACCCAGTATTTCCGAATGCTACATCTAATCAACTGAAAAAAAAAATCCATATGTGCTTCTGTGTAACACTAGTGGAGGCCATGTAGATCTTGGAGCAAATCAGAAGACAAGGGAGGCATCATGGCATTGGCAAAGCTCTGACATTTGTTTAATGTAGCTACAGCGGAGAGCACTTTGGCAGTTGTCTCTGGGTCGCACAAGGGGCTGATGTCACCCATGGAAATTGTGTCCTACCTCCTGGCTGCTCACTCCCTGTCGAGGTGCTGGTGTCCCACGTTCACCCATGCTCTGCATCTTGCTGGCAGCCCACGTGACCTTGAGAGGAGCAGAACAGGGGAAAGCACATTCAGAAAGGGATGCTTTAAGCTGAGCATTTATATACAAGCCACTGGCTGTGGGGCTGCCTTGGGGTCAAAAGAAGCGCTCTTGAGCCAGGCAGGCAGGCGGGTCCCGGCAGCTGCTTCTCCTTCTCTCTTCTTCTCCCTGGCAGGACACTGCCAAACCCTGTGGGGACACCAGTCCAAGGACAGTTTGGTAGAAGACAGGAGAATTGACAGGCAATGTAAAGTGTTTCCGAAAGTGTTTCAGAAATGTCTGCTTTGGGGGATATTTTAGAAAGGTTGAACCTGGCTCCCCAAAATTTAATTCAGAAATAAACAACATGGGCAGGGAAGGAAGGAGAAGGTAGATGTGGAGGCATGTGCACAGGAGGAAAGCCAGAGGAGCTGGTGAGTGCCGTGGGCAGCTGGAGTCTGTGAAATGGGGAGCCCAGTACGGCATGGGGAAGCAAAGGGAGAAGCCACGCCGACCCGAAAAGACACATCTGACCACTCTGGGATAGGGCACTGGAGCCCCTGGCTCAGGCAGGAGTGGAGGAGTTTGAAGCTTCTAAAACAGATACCTTCAAAGAGGGACATCGGGGCCAACGTGGAGGGGCTGAAAGAGCAAGCAGGAACCCAGGTGCCCGGGGCAGGGGGTGAGAATGCAGGGAGTTCTTGGATCTGTCGTGCTGTTTTAGTCTATGGTATTCCAGACTGTCGTTACAGTGTCTTTAGCAGAGTCATTTGCGATCCCCACAGCTCATTTGGTGCTATTATTTTACATTTGACACCTCTGCAATATTTTTTCAAGTGCTGCTTATGTCTACCCATCTAATTCAGTTTTCCGTTGTAATACAGACTGGATCTTGGCAGAATAAATTACTTCACACTTATAATTATAAAAACAAAAGGAAAACAAGTGAAAATGAATATTTTGCATAATGTATGTAGATTTAATTCACACTGTGAAGTGTAGAACTGTGGCCCTGTACTCCACTTTGGTTTTAAATGTCATCATAAGTGAGAAAGGGAGAGACTGTTATTCATGAGCCTGAAAATTATCCTCTGCAAGTGTTTCAGAATGCTTCACCTGTCTGGGAACAAAAATCATCACTAAAGAGAAGGGTTTTGTGAGACTATTCCGGAAAACAGGAGTGGAATATGGTGCATAGTTGCCCTCGTTTTGGGAATCTGGAAGAAGAAAGCATTTGTTTTCCTATTTATTTAAGCTGAAGTCTGTTCTGCAATGAAGTCGGTTGGTTCCAGCCTTCCTATGGTTTGAAGGTGCCCCTCAGGGGCAAGTGTTTGGGTGTCCTGGTGCTATCTCTGCGTTATTAGCCAGTTCCAGTTTTGATGGCCAGCAGGTGAGTGAAGTTTGGACTTACTTCTTCCAAAAGCCTTCTTGGAGAGCCTGAATGGGCAGACAAGCATGACAGAGGACATCCTGTGGATGACCACGAATGAAGGCACATTTGTACTCAAATTCGTTGTGCCTTTCTCTCTCTAGCAAGCTGCCTAAGCCGGCATTCTGCATCATAGCCAGGCTGCTCTGCTCCTTCTCTGATGCTGTCATGTTCTTTAATATCTAGGAGATGGTCGGAAACTGGAATGTCCAAGGGCAGGAACAGTTAAGCAAGAGTTAATTTTAATTTTGTTCTTTCAAATCCTTCCCCCTGCTCTGAAACCAAGCCACCCAACGAAACACAGGGCTTAAAGCCCACATGGGAGTGAAAGTACAGAAGGGTAAAATGAAGGATTTGGAGCAGTATGGAAGAAGAGAAGAGAACTGTAGGGTATCTTTTCATCCTTATTCTGGGTCTACCTGGAACCGGTTCAGTCTCTGACACAGAAAGCCGCTTTGGCTGTCCGGAGCGGCTGGGACAGGAGCTGGTGTTTCACCAGCTGCAAGCGAATGGCGCAGCGGTCTGAGCTGGTGCACATGTGCTCATCACAGAGGAGGAAAGGAGGCAGCCAGCACAGGGAGGCTGTAACTGATAAAGTTCAAGTCTGCAACACCAAAACGTACTGCAGTTGCTTTTTTACGGTCCCACAGTGACCGTTTCCAAGCTTAAGGCCCATTCTGCCTGAGGGTGCTTGATGAAAAAGCAAGAGAGCTTTTTCCCACGCAAGAGAGCTAACAGCCTACACAGGTGAGAGAGAAGACGACATTTAATCTGTCCTATTTCCTAGATGGAGAGATAAAGGAAGGAGAAAGCTAGTAGGTCAGCGTATTCACATCTCCTTTCCAGGCAGGTTTCGTTTCTGTGGTGCTGCCGCTCTCCGCTCCCCTTGGCTGGCAGCCCCAGCCCATGTGCCCCGCAAGGCTTCTGGCTTGCGATCCATACTCCACCTTCACTTAAAAGTTGGCAGGCCTTATCAGTTAGGATCCAGTGCTGGTGAAAAGACAGAAACTGGGTTTCCCAGTTCTTGAGTAGTGCTTTCGCCTCTGGATGAAAATATAACGATTAGCACTTTGATTTTCACTACCAACTCCATTTAGTTTGTGCTTCATGTTGTCTTCATGTCTAAGTCCAGGGAGATGGGCAGCGCTCAAAGAGGAGCCGTTCCCTTTTCGTTTTTCTAAGAACTAGTTTGAAACAGAACTAAAAGTCAAAAATGGCAGAAAAAGCTTGAAGGTTGGTCTGTCTGAATTTCCTGCCTTGTAAAAATGACAGGATCGTTTTAAAGTCTCTCTCGTAAGAGTGTGTGCGCTTGAGTGGGCTATTTTTCTGGTGTGATTCCTTTGCTTAGAGCGTATGACACGGTACATAGTTTCACAAAAAAAGCCTATACTGTTATTTCCCCACAGGTCTGTAGACAGAAATTGTCTGTGAAGGTCTGGGATCTAATCTATAGTCTAAGAAGCATGCTCCGATCAAAGGGATTTAGTATGGCTTGTTCAAGTCCAGGAACTGCAGAATCCTGGACTTAAACAATTTACCAGATCAAGGAAAATATTGTATCTTTAATGTTTAGTTTCTGGTTTAAAGTACAGCTCAGTTAATATTTGGCCAAGTTGCATGCTGTTTCATAAATGCTTTGAGTTATGATGCTTATGA